ACCGAAGGAAAAGTTCCTGGTGTTCACTTCTGCACATTGAACCTCGAGAAGAGTGTCCAACGCGTTATCGAAGGCTTAGGCTGGGCAAGCGGTCAAAAACTCGCCAATCGGTTGATCGCTGTGCGTCACTCGTCAACTTCTCCCTCTGCACGCCTGACAGCATCCTATTAGGAAACACCAGGGACCATTATTCATCCTTCAACGCCGGTATCAGAATTAGTGATCACACCACATAGCGCAACTGACACGGCGAAGAATCAGTTGGCAGCAACGGCTTCGATCGAGAGCGAAGCTGGCAAAGGGGAACTGAATAATGCCGCTACTTGGGATGATTTCCCGAATGGAAGATTCGGTGACTTCAAAAGTCCAGCTTACGGTGATCCTAATCCATGGGGTAGTTCCCAAATCTCAGTGAGTTTCATTAATTTTCGCTCCTAGGAGATTCTAATTCGTCGTTTGTCGTTTGTAATGCAGAGAAACCAAGTTTTGTCTCAATGGGGTAATCCAACCACATCCGACGACTTGACATCTATCTTCCTGCGTTATTTGAACTCCAAACTCCCAACAACTCCATTCTCACCGCAGCCACTCTCCCCCGAATCATTGATGATCTTCCAGCATCTCGAAAAATTAACGCGTCATTCATGGTGGACTGTTGGTTCGCAACCTGCAGTCAATGGTGCAGAGTCAACGAATGAAGTTGTCGGCTGGGGCCCTAAGGGAGGATATGTTTATCAAAAGTGTTTTGTCGAGTTTTTCGTTGAGGAAAGCGATGTTGAGAGTATCGAGAAGAAGGTCAGAGACGAAGGAGGAGGATGGGTTGACTATTTTGCTGGTAATTTGAAGGTACAATCTCGTTAATTTTTTGGTGTAGGTGCACGTACTGACTCCTCTTTGTAGGGAGACTTCAAGACGAACACATCAGAAGGCGGCCGAGATGCAGTAACGTGGGGTGTTTTCCCCGGGCAAGAAATTGCTCAATCGACCATCATTGAGAAGGAATCATTCCTCGCTTGGAAAGTATGTCATCGCCTACTCCCTTTGCTTTCTGATCTTTACTTCCCTTTATTTTAGGACGAAGCCTTCGGAATATGGGCAGAATGGGGATCATTCTATCCCCCAGAATCACCGCAGCGACAATTGCTGGATGCAGTGAGGGAGAAGAGATGGCTCGTCACCATTATTCATCACGACTTCCAGGATTCGAGTGCGCTGTGGAAGTTTTTGTTCGAAGGAGATCACCCCTTGGTTGCATAAGAACTTTTCAGTACTGTATTCATATTTTCTCATCTGCTGTATCTAACTCACTGTTGTATATTCGAGCACCCGTAGTCCCAAAGAAATAAACATAGATTGTTGTCGAATGGGCCGGGATTGCTCTCTGGTGGGCGTCCACTGCATGGATCAACGTGTCCTCTTCGAGTTTATATTCGCTAGAGCCAGAATGTCGCGCACGTGTGGATAATCAAAACCGACACTCCCAGGAAGAGTTGAGCCGCATCTTCCAGATCCAAGGTGATTTGCTGTTGCAACATTTCGGTCAATTCCATTGTTTTTGTTTTAGGTGAGGGCCTTCTTTGTCAAGTCATTTGTGCGCTTCAAAATGCAGATAGTCCGTTAAAACCTACATACACAAATATAGTTGAAGGACATCGTTTACAGGCCAAAGTCGTGTCGACCTTTTGGTTTCGATTAGTTTCGCGATTTCCTCCCAACGAGCATTATTTATTTAGCGCTCATATGAATCACGTGATATTGATGAGATTCTGACTCGACGCGTCTCGTGTGAAAAACGCGCTTGCGCGGTTTTCCTCTGACGATAGATCGCTTGAAAGCATTGCTTCACAAAGTACGTTTGACTTGTTTTAATTCTCACAGACTGATGTATGTATATCCCAGGGATACTCAGTGCCTCGCGTTGGATCTCAAGATGATGAAGCACCCGTTAGATTTCGACTTGGGCAACGGAAAGCGACAGAAGAGTAGTGTGTATGGCGCTCAGCCGGAGGCTTATGGGTATACCCATGGGTTCCGTACGCAATTTACTGGTACGTTCCACTTAAAATACTGATTTTACCTCTGATCTAACGGTAGCAGAGGTGTTGACAAACATGATCATACCAAATGTCTGGAATACATCTATTCAGGACAATTGGTCTTCACAAAACTAAGACATCACCCTGGTCAACATCTGGCAATGCTGAAAATATGACAACGAACCTTGTCGATTACCGTCAAGAAAACAATACGCTATGCCAACCTTCATTCTCATCAGTCTTAAGACCTATCGGCGGGTGTTTCAATGCTACAGTACCAGTACAAAACCAAAAACAGGCGAAAAATCTCGAGAAGAATTCAGTTGCATCAAAGGTCTGTTCAAATGATACCTTTTTGCTATGTATGTTAACATCTCATTGATAATTTTAACAGGGAATGTACTCGTACACCCAATTATCTGATTTGAAGCCGAAAGGTCAATTCAGTATCATTGGTATTGTGACATCTGTTACACGCTCAGCGACACATACGAGAACGGGAGGTGTGTTCTCCCATACGTTGACCTTTGCATCGACTGATAGATACTTGCAGAGTTCTTCGCTAAAATCAAAGTAACAGACTGGTCAAATCTCAGGGGATTTCTTCTCAATATGTTTAGCAAAAATAGGCATGACTGTCTGTCTGACAGTGCACTGTATAAAGTGATGATTTTCCGTGATATTACGGTATGTTATCACAACTGCTGCCTATTGCCTTTATCTGTATACTTATCAGCTATTGCTAGGTTCAAGTGGTATACAGTTCTTCGATCAATGGCTCACGTCCTTCATACAACCAGAGATGGACAATGTATGATCCAGAGATCGAACAATACACCAGTCCTATCCGCGATGTGACGGTAGAAGAGGAATTTGAAACTTTGTGACTGGGGGTCAAAGGTGAAGACGAATACAATGACTCGAGGGCACAAGTTGATCAAAGATGCTGGTCCAAATGTTCATCCGGATGGAATTTTTGATTGTACTGTCGAGGTAAGCAAATAGCAACCCAATAAATACCAAATCTGATGATGATCTCATTTTAACAGATTCTGCACAAACACAGGAACGAGTGCAAACAGGTACGCTCATTATATACAGTGTCTATGTTACAGACTACACTAGCAACGAGAATCTTCCCGTCATACAAGGAGACGGAGAGTGACGATGCCCCGAAGCTCTTCAAGACAAAGTTCTCAAAATCGAAATGTGGTATTCCGCCGTAGCCGCCGCCGCCGAGAAAATGAATGCTGGAGATTTCTACAGTATCACGAATGTTAAAATGAGGATAAGCAGACATAATTGCTGGGAGGGAAAATGTAAGGAAAGAAAAATCCAAAAGCTGAGTACAAATGAACTGGAAATGTGTCCAGATTTGGTTGCGCTGCTGAAGTAAGTCCTTCAGGTGTACTGTGTAAATGTGAACGATGCTAATCGAGGGTTTCCATCAGTCGGCGTGATGCATGGAATGCCTCACAGGATGAGTTGGAGAAGAACACTTTACATCCTCGTAATCACGCACTGCTACAGGACGCCGAACCTGACAAGATGTTCCATTGTACAGCTGAAGTACGTATTTCAATGGATATTCTTTTAGTCTCAATCTGAATGCCCCAATCAGGTCGTCCATGTTTCCTATCTCTACGTTACCGATTACACTGCTCGAGGTGACCTCGTCCCCATATACATTGCACTAAAGCCCAAGGTCGACTTGTCGCGCATAGTCAGGATCAAAGTCGAAAACAACTCCAAACCTTGATACTCTCCGTTGGCAATATCATTTACATCAAGAAATTGAAGTTGCAACGACGTCCTGGTGTGGCAAGAGCTGCGGATGGGTCTCCACTCTGCTATGTTTCTATGTTTCTGGCACGTTAGAAGGCGATGAAATGCTGATCCAGGAGTTGAAGTTGGGGGATCAGGGAACTGGTGATGAGTATAAACACCTCGGAGCGCTTTTGCGGTACGTTATGAGGACCATAATCAATATATGAAAGAGTCGTTGTCCTAATTGTTCCAATATAGGCGCAAGCAAGAATACGAAGAATTTCAGCAAGGCGAGAGAAATTGAAATCTATTTATTGGACGCGATCGTTGAGGTTGTTAGGATTGTTGCTCCATTTTTGGATCTTGTAGATATTCATATCATTATTTCTATTTACAAGTATTTTACATGTAGTATGTGTACGTTCATGTTTTAATTCACGACCGTTTCTGTTGGTGGTATGTTCCGAAAACGAAACTTCATAAAGTAGCTTAAACGGGCGCTTACTACTATTTCTGAGTTTTGCACCTACTACCATCTATTCCATGTAGATCGCAAACGGAGCTGTCCTCAATTCACCATGGTAGCAACACCGACAATTCTTCCTCGCAGCCCTCTCTTTCCAACTCTGCTTCCAAAACCACCACAACCTCATCCAATACCTTTACCTCCCGCCGGACATCCACTAGCACGAATGAGCGATGTTAGAGATTTGAATAAGCAGATGGATGATTTGAGCGAAGAAGAAGACGAGCTGGAAGATTTAGTATGCTCATACTTGATTGCTTCCAATCTCTTTACTAACCTCATTCATCTATGGTAGAATTCGGAGCTCAAGAATAGAGGATTCAATTTCTTGATACCTATTGGAAGAACATACACACAACAGGAAGAAAAGAATGATGTACGTCTCTCTATCTCTAGCTTTCCATCTTCCTCATCAATGACTTTGTTTCTCAGCAAGACGAAGAAGCGTCCGAGGATACCGACACAGAGGCGTCGAACAGAGTGGGAAGCGAAGAGAGTGAGGAAAGTGAGGAAAGTGACAGCGATGAAGACGATGAAAGGGACTTGGACGCAGATATGGACGACATGGACGAGCCAGGAGACGAATCCTCTTCAGATTAACAGTTGACCTTTTTTTCTTGTGGTATTTGCATCTCTCCATACGTGGATATCCGTCATGAAAAGTGTGGCAAGGCACTATAGCCAAGTGGTTACGGCGACAGATTCGAATTTTGTATTCGAAACTATCTGTTCCCCTCTGGGGTCGCAGGTTCGAATCCTGCTGGTGTCGTCAGTTTCAAATTTTTATCGTGTCGAATAAGTATAGAAATTTCGCGTGTCTTCAGAACCAACCAACCATCCGAATCAACACAAGTTACAGGATAAGTAGGAGATACTTTATCCAAACAAATAGGAATATACATTTCACACAGAAATATAATGTGGTGGGCTACATGCAAGTAAAGTGGTGCAGAACATAGATAACAAATACTTAACGAAAGAGCAGAAACAAAGTCTATTAGATGCCACCCGAACTCTCCCTCCCCAACTCCACCATCAATTAATCCAATCGCGAGGATCGATACTCGCCCTATTGATTCCTCCCGTCCGATGACTACCATTTTTCAGATGTCGAGGTTGAGCTGCGATAGGTCTGATCCAGAATTTGATGTATCCTATCCTGTTAGACGTCAGAATACCTCTCGGTAGAAACTTGATATCTGTTAACAGGTCTGTTTCGATGTGCTTGATCTAAACATGAACCCACAAAGAGAAAATGGAGGGAGACGTCAGAATTGTGAAAAGAGTAGATTTAGGAAGAGGGGATGGTCCCACCAAAACGGGTTGAACAACAGCGACTTCATTCCTAGAAGGTGACGGGTGGTATCGGGGTAATATTGGAGATTCTCCGCCGAGTGAAGACCCGAGTGGTGGAAGATATAACGTTGATTCTCCTCTTCGGCGTGTAGCAAGAGAAACCGAGGAAGTCATTGATATGCGTTGATGATGTGTGACCTGTTGTCAATCCTATTGGTAAACTAAAGAATGAACGTAATGGAGATTCAAGAAAAGGTCATACATGGAGTTTTGGTCGATGTAGAGCACCACTTGAGAAATCCCACTGTGTGATGAGCAGTCGTCAGTTGAAGTTTCGAAGGATTAGCATAGGAAGGGAATATAACACACGAGAATAAGTTTATTATCTTCACCAACACTTCCAAACCTGTAAGTCCTTCCATCACACCGGATGTCATCAAAGGCTAACGCAGAAACGAATGACGAATGTCCTTGACATCGAGCTATTACCCTTTGCTCCCAAGGCGAGTATATCGTTACAAGGTCATCTTGACCCCCAGTCTGTATATCGTGAAGGATGACCTCGCTATTAGCGTCATGATACCTGCGCGAGAACAAAAACAAAAAAAAACTTACAAGTATATAACGGCCATCCGGTGACCATGCTATACAAGCTAATGCACCGAAATAGGATGCATAACAGTCTACTAGCCTGCACAAATTACCGTGTTAGCGACTCAACCTCGACGGCAGATTTTTTTTTGTTCACTTACTGCTCTCCAATAGCATCTATGACTCTCAAGCAACCATCTTCAGAAATGGCAGCGACATATTTGACGTCAGGAGAGAAAACAAAATCTAGAACACACATGTTAAGACTCAAAACGATAGTAATGAGGAATCGAATATCATCTACTCACCGATTATACTTTTCTTCGTAACTTTCCAATGACTTACAGGATTCTTAGCTACAATCTTCTCTTTTCCTCCATTATTATTCGCCCCCGATCCCGAATTAGAACTAGAGACATTTACAGGATGCCAAGGCGGCATAGTAACAAATATACTATCGAGTGGGTTCCATTCTCCGGGTATTGGAGGAGTAGGAGGAGCAATGCCCCCGGATTGGAAAGGTTGGGTTAGTGAAGGTGGGGTTGGTAGGGGAGCCGTAGGTTCTTGAGGAGAAAATGCACCATCTTCTCTTTCTTTATCGTACACTAATATTGTGCCATCTGTATGTGATACTAGAAATAGGTTAGGCGACTTTGGCACCCATCGAATCGAAGTGCATTCAACGCCACAAATCCGACCCTGTTGAAGAAAGTGAGAGGTCAATTGGCCGGAGGACGAATTGTAAACACACCTGCTTATTTAGTCGGCCATATCTGGAGGATATGGGGTCTGCGATAGTGCAAATATGTGAGGCTGTGACCAAATAAATTGAACGAAGGAAGGTACCCACCAAACCATAGAATGTCACCAGTATTAAATCCTATGATGACATCTATTCGTTCTGGAGATAAAGTTTCCAAGTTCACGTCATGACATGTTGGATATGCAGAAAAGAATATTCGAGCTAGAGGTTCCTACACGGAGTAGAAATTCACGTTCCATAAGCATCAAATCTGCTAGACCTTTGCTAGAGAGCTCCAAATATTATGATAAAGGCGTGCATACCTTTAGTTTAGACCCAACCTCAGTCCAAATAAATGACTTCGCCATATTGTAAAACAGGAAGGTAACCTCGCCTTGCTTCGACTGTAGATACTTGCTCAAATTATCCACGTTCTGTAGCCTCGTGATGAAAGTTGAAGACGTTGTCCTCATATTATGCTTAGGTCTTGCCATAGATGATTTCTTCTTCCCTCCACTACTTCCACTTCCCCCGGTCTGATGGAAAATGGTATTATGCTGGACTTGGTCGTGCGCATTGAGCGTAGCCTCTGGAATTATAGGGGACGAGGTTGAGGTTATATCTTGACCTTCTACATCCGGAGTGTCACTGCTGGATGCACTGACTCCATCCTCTTTGTTATCCTTGGACGATGTCTTCTCCTTCTCTTTCTTATACTCTTTCTCCCTATCTCTATTCCCTCCCCCCAATAGCTGAGCTAAGACTTGATTATTAGCCACATTCTTCGTCGCTGGGTATTTTACGATAACGGTTGTCAGCTTTGTAGAATGTGAGTTGGGTATGGCGCTGACGGTATGGACGCCAAGTTGAGATGGTTTATGTTCCTCGGTTACGGAATAAACTCCTTCTGGTGCCACGAAGGTTGCATCGTTCTCCATTATTGCTGCCGCCGCTGCATGAAGTTACGTGGTCGTCGTGGTCCAACTCCAGAGGAAAAGGAAATATCCAAGCACCAGTGCGGGGTAGAAGATGTGATGGTAAATGACGAGGACAAGCGGTGGTCAGATTCAACAAATCATCCCGCTCAGATGACTTTCCGGATCTTGCTCACTTCAAAACTTGTCCTCTTACACTCATGTTCAACCCTCACAAACTCGCACGACTTTCCCCCAGCAGACTGTCGTCGTTGAACGTATGTTTTTCTGCTCAATTATCTTCAAGAAACCACTGAAAACCGTGCAATGAAAGGGGCAGTGTATCCGACGTCTTCAATCAACTGTGCCATCATCCGGCGAGGCCGAGCCTCCGCCTGCTGGAGGCCACTTGCCATCAATTGCAACTTCAGCTTTCTTACGACCAACTAGAGATTCCGCTCTTCGATTACCTGGTCTGAGGTGGATAGACAATGAGATTCCTGGTTCGATATCATCTTCAAAGGAAGGTGCAGGTGACATCGCTGGTCGTGAGACTAGGAAGATGAACATGTATCAAGCGGTTAGAGATGCGATGAGGTAAATCTCAGAATTCATTGTTCTCGAGCCTCGGCCAACATTCACATTCATTTCGATTTTGTCTTACGAATTCAATTTCATTAACGCAACCACTCAACTAGCATCGCGTTGATGAAAGATGATACAGCTGTAATATTCGGAGAAGATGTTGCCTTTGGAGGCGTGTTCAGATGCACCATGGTAAGCCAACTTCTCCCTCGGTATGTATAGTCGGTGCCTAACTCCTCATCTCTATTACGTCCGCAGGGTCTGGCGGAAGAGTTCGGTGAGTGCTTTTATCGAAAGTGTAAACTGCTAACTTCTTAGAAACGTGCTATTGAACTTCTTTCTCGGCTACGCATGTAGGTCGTGAACGCGTTTTCAATACCCCCCTTACAGAGCAGGGGATCGCAGGCTTCGGGATAGGTCTGGCATCCATGGGTCAAACTGCGATAGCCGAGATTCAGTTTGCTGATTACATTTTTCCTGCATTCGATCAGGTATGTGCTAAAAAAAGACGCGAAAATCAACTCAAGTTCAACGTTTTTGTGTTAGATTGTGAACGAGGCTGCGAAGCATCGTTTCCGTTCAGGTGGTCAGTTTGGTGTAGGCTCTCTAACTATCAGATGTCCGACAATGTCCGTCGGCCATGGTGGTCTATACCATTCCCAGAGCCCTGAGGGTTTCTTCATGGGTGCAGCAGGTCTCAAGGTGTGCATTATGCTCTATCTATCATTGTCAGATGAAACGCTGTCGTTCTTCTTTGTTCCATATGTATACCTTCATGGCATATCGCATCGACCGGAACATATTTCTCACGTTGGATGCTGCTGTCCCTTTGTTACATTTGTATTGATGAACAGTTTTCCGTGTTTCACCTATAGGTCGTAATACCTCGTTCCCCCATTCAAGCCAAGGGATTATTACTCGCGTCAATTCGGGATCCTAATCCTGTCATTTTTATGGAACCTAAGATTCTCTATCGTTCTTCCGGTGAGCCCTATCACCACAGTACCTCCTAAGTGTGGCATCTGAACTCACAATATTGACATTTCTTCGATGGGCGCAGTCGAACAAGTACCAATCGATGACTACGAATTACCTCTAGGAAAAGCCGAGACGTTGATCAAAGGCTCAGACTTGACAGTTCTCACATGGGGAACACCAATCTACCATTGTGAATCCGCGATCCACATGTTATCATCGCCTCCAAGCTCTTTAGCACATCATATTCCAGCCTCATTACGTTCCGCCAAGATCGAATTGATTGATTTGAGGACGATTTTACCTTGGGATGTGGAAACAATCACGGAAAGTGTCAAACGAACCGGAAGATTAGTTATCGTACATGAAGCTAGTAGGACCGCTGGTGTCGGTGCTGAGATCAGTGCTGAAATTCAAAAACGTTGCTTCTTGAAGTTGAACGCACCAGTTAGGAGAGTGACTGGTTGGGAGTAAGTCATCCTCATCGTATCTTGTTGTTTATCTTGGTGATAACACGAATCACTCATCGGAACTCCTCTTCATAGTACCCCTGTGCCCATGCAATACGAGAAGTTCTATATACCCGATTCCTTGCGGATCTTGGATGCTATCGTGGACACATTACAATACTAAACCATTTGTATTATCATGTACATATGTAAACGG